TGCTCAGACCCTGCTCTCCCTGCCCCTCCTCCCCCGGCCTGCTCAGACCCTGCGCTCTCTGCCCCCCCCAGCCCTGCTCAGACCCTGCTCTCCCTGCCCTCCCCCTCCCCAGGCCTGCTCAGACCCTGCGCTCCCTGCCCCCCCCCAGGCCTGCTCAGACCCTGCGCTCCCTGCCCCTCCTCCGGGACCCTTTCCTGGCCCTTCCCAATGAACTCATTTTTCTTTGTGTCCATGATCTGTTTCTCCTTCTGCCCCCACACCCATCTAGTCATCTAGCCATCTACTCTTCCACCCATCCATCCATCCATCCGTCCACCACCCACCCACCCACCCACCAACCAGTCACCACCCCCCAGCCATCCACCATCCATCCATCCACCACCACCACCCACCAATCACCCCCATCCATCTGTCCACCCAACTATCCATCCATCCATCCACCACTCACCCATCTATCATCCATCTACCACCCATCCATCTGTCCACCCAATTACCCATCTGTCCATCCAGCCCCCACCCACCCACTCACCCAGCCACCCATCTATCCACCCAAATATCCATCTGTCGACCCACCCAGCCAGCCAGCCACTCCGCCAGCCGTGTATCCGTCCGTCCACCCACCCAGCCAGCCAGTCAGCCAGCCGTGTGTCTGCTCAGCCCTCCATCCATCCCTCCCCAACGATGCCACTCCCATGGGCAGACACACACCTCTGCTCCGCTGTGTGGCTGCAAGTTGGGGCGCTCCTCCCACGTGCGTGTAGGAATTACGTGTTGTGCCACAGAAGGGTAGAAGATTTTCAGGCCAGAACAGCACTGTCGTGTCTGAGGAGGTGAGGAAATGAGTGAAGAGGAACTCTACCAAGACGGGGACAGCAGCATTCGTCATGCAGGAAAAGCGAGGTGGCTGCTCGCCCCGTGACAGGGCGCGTGGAAAGGAAGTGCTGTGCAGTCGCAGGTGGGCTGTAGAAGCGTGAAAACGAGTGAGGAGGCCTCGCTTTCCTTTGACAAGGAGGTCAAGCGTCTGAATGTGCCGGGTCTACGTAAGGACTAAGACCGGAAGATGCAGGGGCTGCTGTTGTGGCCTAGCGGGTAAAGCCGCCTGTGACGCCACCATCCTAATGGACGCCGGATCCAGTCCCGGCTGCTCCACTTCCGATCCAGCTCCCTGCTCACAGCCTGGGAAGGCAGCAGAGGACGGCCCAAGTGCTTGGGCCCTGCACCCCCGTGGGAGACCAGCAGGAAGCTCCCGGCTCCTGGCTTTGGCTGGCTGTTGTGGGCATCTGGGGAGTGAGCCAGTGGATGGGCGATCTCTCTGTCTCTCCCTCTCCCTGTAGCTCTGACTTTCAAACAAACAAATCTTTCAAGAACACCAGAGGGGCCGGCTCTGTGGCGCGGTGGGTTAATCCTCTGCCTGCGGTGCTGGCACCCCATAGGTGGCCGTTGTAGTCCCTGCTGCTTCACTTCCGATCCAGCTCTCCGCTATGGCCCGGGAAGGTGTAGAAGGTGGCCTGAGTCCTTGGGCCCCTGCACCCACGTGGGAGACCTGGAAGAAGCTCCTGGCTCCTGGCTTCAGATCAGCACAGCTCCAGCCGTGGTGGCCATTTGGGGAGTGAACCAGCAGATGGAAGACTTTCCTCTCTGTCTCTCTCTCTCTCACTGTCTGTAGCTCTACCTCTCAAATAAAGAAATGAAATCTTAAAAAAAATAAAAACACCAGAAGCTGCAGCCTTGTGAGGTGGGCCAGCGGTGTGGTCGCAGTGAGGCCGTGCAGCCTGAGCCTGGGGGAGCCTGCAAGGTGTGTGGAGAACGGTGTGGGTGTGGCCTCAACATCCTGGCCAAAGACAAGAGAGCCCAGGGCAGCCTGGGACAGGTGGAGAGAGACAGCAGGTGCGTGGCCGCCCAGTCTAGGCATGGAAACCCCCCCCCCACAGAGGGCACCTGATGGGGGGCAGAGCAGCAAGTCCGGGGGGATGGGGGTGGGGGCGGGGTGGTGCAAGGGGAGCCACGGAATTGGACTCCCTGCCCCGGGGCTGCCTTCGCAAGTCCAGTGGGGGTCCCACGGGGATTCTCAACCTGCCTGGGGGTCCAGCAGAAGGGCAGGACCATTAGAGGGGACAGAGTGGGAGGTGGCAGCAGAGCCAGCACCCAGCCCCCTCCTGCTTGTGCTGGGACATAGCCTGAGAAGGGGAGTGGCCCTGGGGGCTCTGGGCCAGGTTGACTGGGGGAGGGTGAAGGTGGGACCCCCAGCTCCTTGACACAGAGGCCCAGCAGGCGCCCGCCCGCCCATGCCCGGGCAGTGTTCGCTTGGCCACCCTGCCCTGGGGCTTCTCCCCATGCCCTGGGTGCCCACGCTGGCACAGCCCAGTGCCCTCTCTGCTCGGCTGGTTGCTGCTGGCTCCCTGAGTGTAGGCAGGATGGCGTGTGTGGCCTGGTGCTCCCAGGCCCTGGACCTACACATACTCCTCCCCGTCTGGTGACGCAGCTGGGTGTGGAAGGGAGAAGCACCGTGGGGGACACTGAGTTCCAGCAAGGAAGTGCGTAGTTGGGGTCTGTGGGCGCCCGTTACCACGCCGACCCTCCCCAAGGAAGCTGAGGGCCAGGCAGTGGGGACGAGGACGCAGGGCCTGGAGGTGGCAGTGGTGGGCTGAGCTCCTGGCGAGCCGAGCGCGCGGCACTGCCCGCATGCAGACCATGGTGCTCTCGGCGCCAGCCGGTGTAGACGAGGAGCAGGGCGTGGCTCTGGGGTCGGGTGTGTGTCGCGTCCCTCGACCAGCAAGGAAGACACGACCCGAACTCTTCTTCCAGCAGTTTATTCAGGAACCTCTTTCAAACTTCTAATACCGCGCCCTTTTTTCTCCCCTCCCTCTTATAGCCATCCGCGCACCAATCAAAAGCGGCCAAGTGGCAAGCATTGATTGGTACAGCAACGCGGAAGCCGGAAGGGAGCTCAAACATCTTCTTATTAGGAGATGTTTGTTTCTCGCCAGTCCTTCCGGGGGAAAGGAGCCGGCGCCATCTTTAGGGCGCCGTGCAATGGCTCCCCACAGGTGTGGGGCTGGCCCAGCACGGTCCCGCCTCAGACTTTGCTCTCGGCCACGTGGCCGGCTCTGCCCTCTCTGATGCTCTGTGTGTGTCTCGGTCTGGCCATCCCTTCCCACTCCCTGGGACACCTTGAGGGAATGTGCGCCTGGGCGTCTGTCACGCCTGCAGCTGTGCCCCCGTGAGGTGTGCAGAGCAGAGCTGAGTGTGAATCAGCACCTCTGTGTGTGATTTCTGTGTGACCTCCGTGAGTGACCTCCGTGAGTGTCCATGAGTGACCTCTATGTGACCTCCATGTGACCTCTGTGACCTCTGTGTGACCTACATGAGTGACCTCTGTATGTGGCGTCTATATGACCCCTGTGTCTGTGAGTGACCTCCATGTGTGACCTCTATGTGACCTATGTGTGACCTCTATGTGACCTACATGAGTGACCTCTGTATGACCTCTGTGAGTATCCATGAGTGACTTCCATGTGTGACCTCTATGAGTGACCATGAGTGACCTCTGTGTGACCTCTGTGTCTGTGAGTGACCTCCATGTGTGATCTCTATGTGACCTCCATGTGACCTCTGTGACCTACATGAGTGACCTCCGTGTGACCTCTGTGAGTGAACATGAGTAATCTCTGTGTGACCTACGTGAGTGACCTCTGTATGTGACCTCTGTATGATCTCAGTGAGTGGCCATGAGTGACCTCTGTGTGTCCTCCATGTGTGACCTCCATGAGTGACCTCTGTGTGACCTCTGTATGTGACCTCTGTATGACCTCAGTGAGTATCCATGTGTGACCTCTGTGAGTGACCTCTGTGTCACAGGGCCTGGCCAGTTTGCAGCCCACGGTCACAGTTGCTGACTTGTACACTGGGGGAGAGGAGCAGCCCCGAGTGTGGCTCTCTTTTCTCCTCATCATAAATCAGATACCAACTAAGATGGGCCATGCGCGTCCAGCCCCGGAGGCTTCCCCAGATGGGAGGGGAGGGCAGGGCAGCAGTCCCGGAGTGGACGTGCCAGGAAGCAGGTCTCCACGTAAAGGAAATGGTTTCCGAGGGCTCCAAGGCCGCGTGGTGGGAGCCAAGGCCGCTGCGTTTGGTGGTCAGCGCTTGTGGGCGCCACTGTGGGGCTGCAGCGTGGACTGCACAGCAGCAGCCCTGGCCACGCTGATTCCGTGGCTTTGAAAACTGCGAAGCTTCTCTGAGTTTTCGCATTCCGTGGACTCAGCTATAAAGAATGAGCATCAGCGCTTGGGAAGCAGCGTCCTTGGTGGCTGAAGAACACGTGGCCGCGTGTCCTAGGGTCGCTCGCGGCATCGGGGTCTGGAGTCACAGGAATCTGTTACATGTGGCCGCGTGTCCTAGGGTCGCTCGCGGCATTGGGGTCTGGAGTCGCAGGAATCTGTTACATGTGGCCGCGTGTCTGAGGGTCGCTCGCGGCATCGGGGTCTGGAGTCGCAGGAATCTGTCACACGTGGCCACGTGTCCTAGGGTCGCTCGCGGCGTCGGGGTCTGGAGTCACAGGAATCTGTCACACGTGGCCACGTGTCCTAGGGTCGCTCGCGGCGTCGGGGTCTGGAGTCGCAGGAATCTGTCACACGTGGCCACGTGTCCTAGGGTCGCTCACGGCGTCGGGGTCTGGAGTCGCAGGAATCTGTCACACGTGGCCACGTGTCCTAGGGTCGCTCGTGGCATCGGGGTCTGGAGTCGTAGGAATCTGTCACACGTGGCCACGTGTCCTAGGGTCGCTCACGGCGTTGGGGTCTGGAGTTGCAGGAATCTGTCACACGTGGCCACGTGTCCTAGGGTCGCTTGCGGCATCGGGGTCTGGAGTTGCAGGAATCTGTTACATGTGGCCGCGTGTCTGAGGGTCGCTCGCGGCATCGGGGTCTGGAGTCGCAGGTGCTCTTCCCAAGTCCCTCCCTGGCGGCAGCCATGCCCGCTGACCCCACCCCGTCGCCCATGTGGCTCTGGGTGGCGTTTTATGATGCTCACTGCATGTGGCGCCGTCTCTCCTGTGCTCACCGGGGGGTCCTAAGAATAATGAGTGTGCTCGTCCCACAGTGAGCTCCCCCGGGCGCACGGTGCTGCCCACAGAGGCCACTCAGCAGGGCCCATTCTGATGCCCGCTGCGTCCATCTCCACACTGTTCTGTGTCGCGCTCTGCTGCTTCATACAGCCTGTACTCGCCGGAGTCAGGTTCATGACCCCTGTGTCCTGTCCTCAGTGCCTTGTGGGAGTTGGGTTCACGATCCCCACATCCTGAGCTCTTGGGAGTTGGGTTCACGACCCCTGTGTCCTGACCTTGTGGGAGTGAGGGTTCATGACCCCTGTGTCCTGACCTTGTGGGAGTGAGGGTTCACGACCCCTGTGTCCTGACCTTGTGGGAGTCAGGTTCACGACCCCTGTATCCTGACCTTGTGGGAGTGAGGGTTCATGACCCCTGTGTCCTGACCTTGTGGGAGTGAGGGTTCATGACCCCTGTGTCCTGACCTTGTGGGAGTGAGGGTTCACGACCCCTGTGTCCTGACCTCATGGGAGTCAGGTTCACGACCCCTGTGTCCTGACCTTGTGGGAGTGAGGGTTCACGACCCCTGTGTCCTGACCTCGTGGGAGTCAGGTTCACGACCCCTGTGTCCTGACCTTGTGGGAGTGAGGGTTCATGACCCCTGTGTCCTGACCTCGTGGGAGTCAGGTTCACGACCCCTGTGTCCTGACCTTGTGGGAGTGAGGGTTCATGACCCCTGTGTCCTGACCTCGTGGGAGTCAGGTTCACGACCCCTGTGTCCTGACCTCTTGAGAGTCAGTGTTACAAACCCGTGCCTTGACCTCGATGCACTGGAGATGTTCCTGGGTAGAGCCTTTTGTTGGTCATCGATGCCAGCTGACACCAGAGTGAGTGTGTCAGCAGGTGAGCCCCCCCAGCGTGTCAGCAGGTGAGCCCCCCCCAGTGTGTCAGCAGGTGAGCCCCCCCAGTGTGTCAGCAGGTGAGCCCCTCCAGTGTGTCAGCAGGTGAGCCCCCCCTCAGTGTGTCAGCAGGTGAGCCCCCCCAGTGTGTCAGCAGGTGAGCCCCCCCACAGTGTGTCAGCAGGTGAGCCCCCCCTCAGTGTGTCAGCAGGTGAGCCCCCCCTCAGTGTGTCAGCAGGTGAGCCCCCCCTCAGTGTCAGCAGGTGAGCCCCCCCTCAGTGTGTCAGCAGGTGAGCCCCCCCTCAGTGTGTCAGCAGGTGAGCCCCCCCAGTGTGTCAGCAGGTGAGCCCCCCCTCAGTGTGTCAGCAGGTGAGCCCCTCCCCAGAGTACATGGGCAGGTTGACCCCCCCACAGTGTGTCAGTAGGTGAGCCCCTCCCAGAGTACATGGGCAGGTTGACCCCCCCACAGTGCGTCGGCAGGTGAGCCGCCCAAGTGTACCGGCTGATGAGCCCCCCCATCGAGTGCACCGGCAGGTGAGCCCCCATGCCTGCCACCCTCCAGACCCCTTTCTTCCCAAACTCGTCCTCCTGTCAAGGACAGATCACTGACATCAGCCTCAGGACGTCCTTGGCTCTCTGAACACACTCGTCACACCTCCGATTTCTGATTAAGAATTTATCTGGTAAGGGGTGGGCGCTGTGGTGCAGTGGGCTAAGCCTCCACCTGCATCCTATATGGCCACCGGTTCTAGTCCTGGCTGTTCCTCTTCCGATCCAGCTCTCTGCTGTGGCCTGGGAAAGCAGTGGAAGATGGCCCAAGTCCTTGGGCCCTGCACCCACGTGGGAGACCCAGAAGAATCTCCTGGCTCCTGGCTTTGGGTCGGCGCAGCTCTGGCCATTACAGCAATCTGGGGAGTGAACCAGCAGATGGAAGACCTCTCTCTGTCTCGCCCTCTCTGTAACTCTACCTCTCAAGTAAATAAATAAATCTTCTTTAAAAAGGATGTATTGAGTCACATTCATCTTGTAACTGGGTTTGGAGGAAGAAGCACCTGTCACAGGTATCAGAGTTTGCAGTGTGCTGCGCACGTGGAGTCAGGGCGGCCGACTTGGAACTCGGCCAGCGCTGGGGCAGCGTCTCCCCCGTCCTGCTGGTGCCGAGGTCCCGACTGCGGGATGATTTGGGTGCCCCCGTGGAGAAGCCCTGGGCTCGAGCCCCTGCCTGCACTCTGCTGTGATGGGTGCCTCGGTTTCCACACCTGCAAAACGGACTTGCGGCAGCACCAACCGTGGGGACCCGGCTCAGCTTCCAGACAAGCACCAGGAGCGCTCGAAGCCATGCCGGTGGTCTGCTGTACCGGGCAGGCCTCTGTCCAGCACTGCAACGTGACTGTTGGCGTCAGTGGACAGCCCGGGGACGGCGACACAGCAGGTGGGGCTTTCAGGGACGCGAGGAGGTCGAGGAAGGTTCCAGAGGCTGTGGCTCACACAGAGGGCCGGGTGGGGCACCGCAGTGGAGGTGACGCTGGCTGTCACACAGCAGGCGCAGCTGAGCCCACTTCCCGCCTCCCCCAGAAGAGCTTCTGTCTCCACACAAAGCCCGGAAGCTGCACCAGCGCCCGGGAAAAGCAGACTTCAGCGCGGGCGCTTTCGGGAGCTTTGCGAGCCCGGAGGAGCCGGCTCCCTGCCGAGTGACGGGGGTTGCCTTGCGCGGTCACACGGGTGCAGCCGCTGCCTCCCCGCCGTCGCCTGTATCAGCCGCAGTGTGGACACGAGACCAACCCCACAGCAGAAGAGCCAGGTTCTCAGCCCGTCTGACCTCGGGAAGCTCACAAAGGACGTCTTGGAGAGAAACAGGCGTGGGTGCTGAACCCTGCCCCACTTCGTTTCTGAGGGGTGGGTGATCTTTTTAAATATTTATTTGAGAGAGAAATAGAGGAGATGGACCTTGTATCCGCTGGCTCACTCCCCAGATGGCCACAACTGCCAGGGTTAGGCCAGGCAGAAGCCAGGAGCTTCTTCCAGGTCTCACACGTGGGTGCAGGGGCCCTGGCGCCTGGGCCATCTTCCACTGCTGTCCCAAGTGCATTAGCAGGGAGCTGGCTTGGAAGAGGAGCAGCCAGGACTGGAACTGGTGCCCGTGTGGGATGCCGGTGCCACAGGGAGCAGCATTCCTACATTGATTTATCTGCTCACCCGCCGGAGGCCGGGCCAGCCGGACGGGCAGGACCACTTGGGAATGTGAGGACGACAGCCATGGCCAGCCGGGTGCGGAAGCCTCAGCCACAAGCCACTGCCTGATGCGGTGACCGCCAGCCCCACACAGGGCAGGAGGGAGCTGTACACCTGCCGTGCACTACTGCCAGGCCACAGAGAGCCGTCAGTGAAGTCCACCTGCCCTGGGTCAATTCCCACGTGTACACGCCTGGCACACTCCCCAGCTGTCCCATGATTGGTCAGCGTGTAACTGAAAAGCCTTCCTGTAAGAGTGGCAGGTCCTGGGCCCCGCCCACCCTTGCCTCTCGATGATCTCCCCCCTGGGCTATGGGAGCTTGGAACCTGACAGCCGTGGTGTCTGCTTGTCCGGCACCGAGAGACTGACATAACTGTGGTGGACACGCCCACTGAACACCACACGACCTGGAGGTGGCAGGGACCACGCGCTGGCCATGTGCTCATTGGGGCGTTGCTGACCGTGGGGTGGGGAGGTGGAGACCTAGTCAGGACCAGTAGAGGGCTCGGTGTGGCTGGCTGGGGCTCACTGGGAAGCCTGCACGGGGGGCTGGGGTGCACCGGCGTCACCCAGAGGAACGGGGTCACAGGAGGGCATCAGGGCTGTGTCTCTGCGGGGCCCAACGCTGGCTCCCGGTGGGCGCATTAAGCCCACGCTGAGCCCCACGAGTGCTGAATTCGAATCGCCGCCTCTTGCTCAACTCAAGACCCATCCCGGGAGTCCTCATTCTTCCTGCTGCCCTGGGCTGAAGTGCCCAGGAACTTGGGTGTTTTCTCACGGGGGCCACCTAAGCACTGAGGGGGGACCTCGGCCACGTGTGGAGGATGAGCGGATTGTGAGCGAGGGTCACAGCTCAGAGCTGTGTGGAGCAGTTGTCATTGGTGACCTCTCTGTTTATTAACTGTAGTAAAATTGAATTATCCCAGTGCCACTTGATGGAAATAATATATGGATAATAAACGATGTGCATTCTAGCTTAGGAGACATGTTGAATGGTGGACTACGTGTGTGTACGTGGGAGCATGTGTGCCTATGTGTGTGTGCATATGCACAGGTGTGTGCCCGTGGGTACGTGTGTCTGTGCTGAGTGGTGGACTGTGTGTGTGTACGTGTGGGCAGGTGTTTGCACACACGTGTACATGTGTGCCCGTGGGTACGTATGTCTGTGCTGAGTGGTGGACTGTGTGTGCGTACGTGTGGGCAGGTGTTTGCACACACGTGTGCATGTGTGCCCGTGGGTACCTGTGGCTGTGCTGAGTGGTGGACTGTGTGTGTATATGTGTGAGCAGGTGTTTGCATGTGTGCCCGTGGGCATGTGTGTCTGTGCTGAGTGGTGGACTGTGTGTACGTGTGGGCAGGTGTTTGCACACGCATGTGCATGTGTGCCCGTGGGCACGTGTGTCTGTGCTGAGTGGTGGACTGTGTGTATGTGTGGGCAGGTGTTTGCACACGCATGTGCATGTGTGCCCGTGGGCACATGTGTTGTGCCGAGTGGTGGACTGCGTGTACATACGTGTGGGCAGGTGTTTGCACACGCATGTGCATGTGTGCCCTGTGATGAGCTCCGTGCTCTGCAGATGGCCCTGACACCCAGGTTTGCACGACTCTGTGCTATGAACGCTGGGGGGAGGGGACGTCTGCCGCTGGTTTCAGGCACGGCCCGTGGCTCCCCGTGCGGTGGCCTGGTGGGCGTGAGTTTCTGTCTCTCCGTGAGGTGTTGTGGATGGGACCCAGCGTTTAAGGCCGGGGCCCAGTCTGGAGACACCATCGGCTCAGCTCCGCCGTCTCCTGACCGCGGGCTCCCGTCAGGGCTGCTGTGCCCTGTCCAGCCGTGGCAGAGTCGAGGGCGCCACGCCCCGGCCGAGCTGGCTGTCCTTGCCTCTGGCTCCTGTGTGGCTGCGTTGAGTGCAGCCTGCGTGGATGGCACTGTGCGCTGTGGCCCCGTGGGCGTGGAAGGCAGGAGGGCGGCGTGAGAGCTCAGAAGCACCCGCTCACACGCGGCGCTCTGGGTGCGGGGTCAGGCACGGAGGCGCCCGGCCGACTCCGGCGGGAGGACCGGCGGGAAGCAGGGGCCCTGGCCCCTTCTCAACACTCGTGCGGGCCCTGAGCCCCCGTGCTAAGCGCACGCATTGTTTGGATCACACGAAGGCGGAGCGGTGTGGAAGGAGAGCCCAGCGTTCGCCTCCCTTGTCCTGCAAGGGCCATCGCCATAAACTCGCACTCGCGGCCTCCCAGCTCCAGGTCTCACAGTGGGAAGGCCGCGACCCCCGAATCCAGTGAGGGCCCGGGCCCAGGCGTGCGACACCTTGGGACAGCAGGAGCGCAGGGCGCTGTCCCCTCACTTCCCTCCCGAGGCGGCGGGGCTCCGGGGCTTGGGCTTGGCGTCTTCCTCGGAAAGTGCCGTGCCGCGGGCCAAGCCTCTCGCGCCGCTTCCTCTGTGCCCGAGCAGCCGTGGGACTTCCCGCTTTGTTTCAGAAAATAAACAGCAGCCCCGTCCCCTCCCTTCCTCCGGGTTTGTCGCTGTTTGTTTGAACTTGAGACTTCCTGAGGCCTGGAAGGTGCATTTGGCCGACAGCTCCGTCGCTGGAGCCCGTCTAGGGAAGGGAACGCCCACACTTGCCAGCGGATGGGCGGGCGTGACCGTCCCCACCCTGCCCCGACTTTCTCCTTTCTTCTGCCCGCTCTGGGAGGCTTGAAGGGCAGCTCGGGCTGGGCCAGGCTGCAGGAGGCCCGAGTGGCCGGGAGCCCCAGGAAGCCGCCGGCCGTCTTGTTCCTGTGGCTCGGTCAGACCCTCAGCCGCCGGGGGACATCAGCGCCCTGGGGGCCCCTGCATGTGGAGGGAGACCTTGGCCGTGGCCCAGTGTGTGAGCAGGACCTGAGCAGTGGGTGCTGCCACCATCGTGCAGGGACCCTCCCACGGGCGACGCGATGGCCAGGAAGGGAGCGCCTCGGGGGCCCACCCGTCGGCTCTGGTCACTGCCCAGGCGGCGCCGGGCGGCGGCCGAGAGCCCAAAACCAGGTGAGGTGTGGGCGTCCCCCTGCACGCGTGCCTGACAGCTTCAACCGTGGAGACAAGACGCCGGCAGGCCCCGCTGTGTCCGGCTCCTTTGGGGCCCTTCTGCCCTGGTTCTGGGGACCCCTGCCTCACCCCTCTGCTGAGGTGGAGAAGGGGCAGGAGCGGCGCGGGGCCATTGTGGCACATTGCCTGGGAGCAGCAGGCGCGGGGGAAGCACCTGGGGGTTTCTGGGGAGCAGGGCGCTAAGCGGCCATGGTCACCCTGTGCCCGTCTGACCCCTGGAGCCCCGCAGCAGCTGCCCGGGTGGCTTCCCCTTTGCAGGAGCTCAGCCCTGGCCTGTCCGGGTCCTCCCAGGACGTCCCAGGGTGCGGGGAGATGCTCGCTGCTGGTGGTCTCTTCCTTCTGCACCCGGGACCTGCGCGGCCCTGCCCTCAGCACAGGGGGCCTGCAGGCCTCAGCCAGAGTGTGTTCCCTGGGCAGGTGTCGTCAAGGGGAGACACAGAGGCTGCGGGTCACCCCCCTGGGGGAGGTGGGGACCAGGCTCCTGGAGAGGAATGAGAAGCAGCCGTGGGCAGCTGGAGCCCCAGGACGCGGGACCCCCGGGCAGGGCTGGGCGCAGGCGGCAGGAGGGCCCCGTGTTGCCTTGACTGTGGGGTGCAGGGCGGGCTCCCGTAGGGGGACTCTGAGGGGGCCAGGCTTCTGCCCGTGTGGTGGGCCTGCTCCTTGCAGAGTGCTGAGCAAGGGGGTGATCTGGCTCCCAGCGAGGCTGTCACAGCAGCCCAGGGGCCACACGCTGAGGCCTGGCCTGGTGGTCAGGGAGCTGCCCATGCGTGGGTGTCCTGGTCAGGGTCTCTGGCTCAGCCCCACCTGGTATGGGCCCCGCGGGGCTGTTTCCCCTGGCCAGGGGTGAGGGGCCCGGGTGCCCCGTGCTGCCCGTCAGGTCCGTGGGAGCAGCAGGTGAGAGGAGGGGCCAGCCCGGTAGAGCCCAGGAGGGCCGTGGGCAGCTTGAGCTGGGCAGCTAGGGCCAGGCAGAGCCATGTGGAGCTGGGCACGGGGGGCCGGGACGGTGGCTTTGGGGCAGAGTTGTGCCGAGTCCTGTGTGGGCTCGGAGTTGTCCTGTGGTCCAGCAGCAGGGGACAGCCGCTGTCACCGTGGGGAGAGCAGAAGTGTTGGGGGGGGGGTTCTGGCCAGAAGATGCCTGTGGGGCACACGCATCCTCCTGGGAGGAATCCTGGGAGCACGCGGCCCCGGCAGTGTCCCGGCGCTTGGCGACGTCGCGGCTTCTCATCCTCTCCCCACCGACGATCCTTGGGACCCGTTCTTATCAGTCGCCAGACAAGCGGACGGCAGTGCTGGGTCCTGGGGGAGGCTGAGAGTCCAGGCTGGGACTGGATTCAGGAGCCCCATGCCGGGGTTGGCGCGAGAGGTCCCATCTGCACCTGGGTGGACTGTGTGGCTGGGGGTGGGGGGTGCATCCCACGCTGCACACATTTGGCCTGGACGGCCAGCTTCATCCCGGCTCAGACCAGGGGCTGAGGGCGGAGGCTGGAGCTGGGGTCACCGCGGGAGAGCCCGCACCAGTGTTTGGGGGGACAGCTCAGGGTGCTGGCCTCTGACTCCGCAGCTCTTCCCAGCATCCGCTGAAAGCCGAGGGACGCAGTTCCATAGCAGCCCAGCAGGGGGCGTGTGGGGGATGGCGCCGGCGGCAGGCGCGGGGCATTCTGGCAGGTCCTGGTGTGTAGGTGTTGATGTGGGCACTCCTCACACCTGTTTGCAGGGAGCAGGGTTGTGGTCCAGAGGGTCCTGGAGATGCCTCTTTTCCGTGACTGGGCAGCTGGGATGCAGGCATTGTTCTGGCTTCCTCCCTCATGCCCCATGCCCCGTGCCCACCAAGGGACCCCCAGGTGGTTCGCTGGGGTCTTTTGGGCCGAGCACTGGGCCCTGGCCACTGGGTTCCCGAGCCCATCACTGCCTGGATCGCAGCAGCTGAGGGGGAACCTCCCACCTCCGTCCTCCGTCTGCTGTAGCCTCTTCCCGGGCTAGACGTCTGCCCAGAGTCCAGCGTCCCGGGCAGGGCTGCGGGGCGGGCGAGGGAGGCGCAGCCCTCGGCTGAGACGCCAGAGAGGCCGGCGGGTCACATGCAGGCCCTGACCTCTGCCTGCTTCCTTCCGGAAGGGTGCAGCCTCCACGGCTGCTGCTGTGGGCGGCGTGTGGGCGCAGGGGGAGGCGTGTGGGGGTCTCTGTGCCTCCCGAGCTCCCCTGGGAGCCCCCACCCCGGGCAGTGTGGCAGCAGAGGGCAGCTCAGTGCCCAGGGGCCCCGCCCGACATCCGTGTGTCAACAGGCAGGGCGCGGCCACGTGGTAGCCTCGGCGGTAATTGCCTTTTGATGCCCTGTCCTGGCTCAGAACTCGGCCGGCCGCTCCCGCAGACTCTAGGGCGAAAGTGCAGGGCCCGAGCTGTGGGCCGAGCAGAGGGAGGATGGTGAGCGTGGGGCAGCGCCCGTGCTTGCGCTGTGGCGCCCAGCGCGCCGGCGTGGCAGCCCGCAGGCCCGTGTGGATTTCCGTGGCGGAAATGCAAAGCTACTACCTGTATTCGGAGTGGTGCTCCTGGCTGCGGTCTGCGGCCGAGGGTGAGTCCCCCGGGCCCTCCGCGAGCCCCTCCCAGCGGCGTGCTGGGGACAGCCCCGGTGGTGGTGAGCTCAGGTGTTCTGCAGGGCTCCCCAGTTCCCTGGTGTGGGATGGGGACACAGCTACGGTCCCCTGGGAGCTGGTGGTGGCCCAGGCGGGGCCTGTGGCTGAGGGGGAGAGGGCATCTCCCCGACAGCACTGACTGGCCATGGCGTAGGCAGCCTGCGTCAGCTGGCAGGTGCACGTGTCCAGGAGCAGGGACACGTGATGGCCACATCTGTAGATGCAAAACAGAGTGGGCGCCGAGGGATGCTGGGGCTGGGGAGAGAGACTCTGACAGCGGCCCCTCCTGCCCTCCATCCCAGGGGCCCCGACCCATCACCCTGTCCAGTCCCGGCAGAGCCCCTGGCTGCCTCCTCCAGGGGAGATCTGGATGCATCCTGGCACAGAGCAGGGGTGGGGCTCTTGCTGCCCCAGGTCCGTCTCGTCTTATCCGTCGTGTGCCCCTCGGGGCCGTGCCCCTCAGCCAGGGGTCTGAGCCCCCAGCCCTGGACTCTGCCGTCCAGTAGCTGTTCTGTTTGGAGTCTCGTGCCCTGGTCTGTGTTCCACTCAGCACCCAGTTTCTGCCCCTGCTGTGCCCAGGGTGCTGTCCGTCAGCACCGCAGCAAGGCCCCCACCCCAGAGAGACAGCTGCCGCCCACAGCGGGAGGGCCACGGCCGCACCCCTGCCTGCCGTGCTCAACAGCACCGCGACCGTGGGGCCAGAGTGGCTGGCGAGGCGGGGGAGGAAGTCAGCCGTGTGCATCCTCCCAGGTGGACGGAGGCCCCCTCGGAAATCTTGGCTCCGGGGAGCAGGACCCCGGCCACTCAGTGGCTCCCAGCCCGGCCTGTGGCTGCACTGGGCCACAGCCCGGGAGCAGGAGGGCCTGCACTGGTTCTTCTCCCCGCCAGTGGGACAGGGCCCACCCGTCCCCAGGGCTCAGCTGCACGGGCAGAATGGCATGTGTGTTATATGTGTCGGTGTGCATATGTGTGCATGTATGTGTTGTATTTGTACATGCATGTTTGCATGTATGTGCATGTGTAACCGTGTGCATGTGTATGTCTGTGTGTGCACATATGTGTGTCAATGCATGTGCTTGTGTTTCAGTGTGTGCATGTGTCTGCACGTGCATGTGTGTGCTTGTGTGTCTATGTGCGTGAGACTGTGTGCATGTGTGCCCGTGTGTGCATATGTGAGCATGTGCATGTGTGTGAAAGCGTGAGTGACAGGAGCGTGAGGGAGTGTCACTGTCATCGTCGTCACCACAGCCAGCTCAGAGAAGAAACTGACTGAGGCCGCCCAGCAAGGAGGGAGGGGGACCCCGCCTCGGTCAATTCTGGGGAGGAGCTGGGGAGGTCTCGGGGCTGCGCCGAGGGAGGAGTCCATGCCGGGGGCTGCAGGCCGCAGGGAATCATGAAGGGCCGGACGCCGGGTCCAGGATGTGGACGCCGTGGCCTGCAGTGTGACACCAGGCTGTGTTGCCTGTTTGCCCTGTGGGCGTGGCTGCTTCTGTCGCTTTTCTGTTTATCTTCCTTGTTTGCTTTCTTCCCAGCAGGATGCGACCGGCAGAGGGGTTGCTAAGTACCTCTGGGGTGCAGCCAGGAGGGAAGGGCACAGGTGGACACCTGCTGTCCCGGGGCGGGGGCTGGGCGGAGCATGTAGCCCTGTGCTGCAGGCCCCGGGCACGTGTGGGTGCTGGGAGGGAGCGCCACCTCTCAGGTCCTGCTGAGCTCCTGGGCTCCATGTGCCTCCGTTTGTCAGCCGTGGTGTCAGGTGTTCGGGACCCCAGCTGTCGGGAAAGCCACAGGAACCACCCCCGATCACGGGGAGATCCCCACGAGGGGCGTGGCCTGGTGGCATCACCGGGGTGGGGGCGGTAGTGTGGGGAAAGCACTCTGAGAAGAGCCAGTGTCCCTGTGTCGAGCTCGGAACAGAATCCGCGTCTCCCTCGGCTGGGGCAGCCCTGCGGATGTGCCGGGGGCAGAGAGGCCTGGGGCCCCGCCTACTCCTTCCGGGAGTGGCAGCGATGGCCGGGACGTGGACGTCCAGCTGCTTGGCCCTGGCTGGGCATGGTGGGGTTTGCAGGGCCCGTGTGTCCCAGGAAGCGGAGCCTGCACTGAGCTTGAACACACGAGGGCCCAGGAGCCCACGTCGTCTGCCACGTGTGGCTGTGCCTGCTCTGGCCAGCCGGCCCCATCTCCTGAGAGGCACACTCACCTGCAGACACACTGTAGGCCTGTGTCATTCACTCCACGGGGATAAAAGCCGACTCCTGACCAGGCTTCGTGGAATGCCGGAAACCTTACGAGACGTGGCCAAGTGCTGGAGCCCTG